CGGCGGGCGGCCAAGGCGAGGCTGCCGCCCGCCGGTGAAGCGGAATTACTAGGTTCTCAACCTTGCTCTGATACCATGTTATATTTCAGAATTTATGCAATCTGGTTGCTAGTTTCAATTTGCTGCAAATACTTTTACTGGAGATTGTGCTTTAACAAATGATAACTATGTTTGACTCAGGTGATAGATTTTTCATAATGGTTGCTACCGCCGCTACTTCTGCATTTTTTCCAGTTGCATCTCCTCCACCCGATTCTGGTGACAAGACATCCAGCAAGCTTGGAGGACCTCCAGCAAATGTGGATGCTCGAGGGATTAAATCAAAATCTGCTGCCACTCGGGGTTTGCAGGTTAAGGCCAATGCACAAGCCCCTTCCAAGGTAAACGGTACCAAAGTTGGTGTAATGGAGGGGCTCAAGAGTGAGGATGATTCGCCATCACTTCACCAAAGGACTTTTATCAACTAACTACCTGATTGGAGCATGCTTCTTGCTGCTGTCACGACGATATTCTTGGCAACGGAGAAGCAGTGGATGATGCTAGATTGGAAGCCAAGGCGCCCTGATATGCTCATCGATTCGTTTGGTTTTGGGAAAATTGTTGAGGATGGTTTTGTTTTCTGTCAAAACTTCTCTATCAGATCCTATGAGATAGGGGCTGATCGGACCGCCTCTATAGAGACATTGATGAATCATTTGCAGGTATGATTAAAACTTCATTTGACTACAATGTCAAAAGAATAAATGCACTCCCATGTACCATTCACTGCCCCTTTTCTAATTTGTTTAGTCCTTCACAAGGTTAAGTTCTTTTTGCAGGAAACAGCTCTTAATCACGTGAAGAGTGCAGGACTTCTGGGTGATGGCTTTGGTTCAACTCCGGAGATGTGCAAAAAGAACCTGATTTGGGTGGTCACTAAAATGCAGGTTCTGGTAGATCGCTATCCTACTTGGTAAGTCACAGTCTTGTGTGCATCACATTGCTCTCTTACTACATTATGATATCATACCTTTTAGTTTCTCTGATGGTTCAGTTGTCTCTAGGAAATTGATGTAGTGTTTGGCTGCTAAGGGCTATGTTAAAGTCATATTACATGTATTTACAACCCCACCATGTTGCAGAGGCTTAGTTGATTCCCTAACTTTAAGGTATTTTCAGGATGATTTAACATACAATAATTAATGCGTGAATGTGAAGCGTACTTAAAGGTTGCTTTGCACTCGCTTCACAAGGCTCCTGCTGACGACAGGTGTCTGGGAGAGACAGCAGGTAAGCAGTCTTACCCCACTGTTTTGTGGAGATGCTGATATTTGTGACTCAAACCTGTGCCACAGGACTGGGGGCAGATAGCACTTGCCATCATGCCAGTCGCAACATCTAATGTGAAGCACATTTCGTTAACTTTAAAAGATTAGGGGTCTATATTTGAGATGAGATTATAATCTATGTTTGCAATCTGGTCTAAATGTAAAAAAACATGCATGATAGGAGGGGTTGGAGGTGGTACCTTGACCTTTTGTTTGATCTCTTAATTTTCTTTTTTAAATCACATATTGCTTTAAGAAAACGTATAGTACTTGATCTCAAGATTTGATATAGTTGTCATAGATACGACAGACACTTTAAAGGATTAAAACTCCTCAAAACTAACAAATTATACAAAAAAAAAAGAAGAAGAAAGTCAAATATTCTATTTTTTCCTACTTTTTGCACATTTTTTTTTGTAAAAAGACAAAAAGTCATCTCAAACATGCTAATTTTTTACTTCATATTTTAGTCAAAAAATTAGAAAGTTACTAAAGTAGCCTGTTTCCAAACGAGGCGCTATCGACTTGCCCTACCCAACCCAACCCAACCCAACCCAACCCAACCCAACCCAATTAAGCTATTGAAATATGTATGGTCTTTTTTTCTTATTTATTTAAACTATTGGTGTCCGTTTGGTTTAGTTTTAATATTATGATTTGAATGTGGAGTTGTGTTTTGAGTTTTTGAATCTTGATTTGAAAAGAGAAAATTTGTTTAGTTATGAGTTTTGAAAATAGTTTTGGGATGATTTGTAATTTTTTCTTATTTATTTTTGATTGATTGATTGATTGATGTGAAGCTTGAATAACCAGCTTAGGGTATGATGAGATATCATCCCTTATTTATAAATAAAGATTAGGGTTTACAAGGAAGACAATTACAAGATGATCCCTGAGGGCATAAAAATGATTACAGACTCTAGTGCCTTTCGGCTAATATAAAATGCTAAGTGACTTTCGGTGATTATAATATGCCAACACTCCCCCTCAAGCTGGTGCGAAGATATCTCTCATGCCCAGCTTGCCTAATATGTCATGAAACGGTTTATTCCCAATTCCCTTGGTGAGAATGTCAGCAAGTTGTTCACCAGACTGAACAAAAGGAGTACAAATGGTACCACTAGTGAGTTTCTCTTTAATGAAGTGGCGATCAATCTCAACATGTTTTGTCCTGTCATGTTGAACGGGATTGTGAGCAATGTTGATGGCGGCCTTATTATCACAGTATAACCGCATGGAGTCCGTCTGAGCAATACCTAGATCACTCAACAATAATTTGATCCATAAAAGTTCACACACACCTTGTGCCATAGCTCTAAACTCAGCTTCTGCACTTGACCTGGCAACCACATTCTGTTTCTTACTCCTCCAAGTAACTAGGTTACCGCCAACAAATGTGCAATACCCTGAAGTTGATCTCCTATCAGTTACTGACCCAGCCCAGTCAGCATCTGTATAGGCTTCTACACGAAGATGATCATACTTTGAAAAAAACAAACCCTTACCAGGAGCAGACTTCAAATACCTCAAGATTCTCATGACAGCCTCAAAATGAATCTGATGAGGAGCATGCATAAACTGACTAACTACACTGACAGCAACAGCAATATCAGGACGGGAGTGAGAGAGGTAAATGAGCTTACCCACTAATCGTTGATAGCTCCCCCTATCCACAACTTCTCCTCCTTCATCATCTCCCAATTTTTGATTGGGTTCCAGTGGGGTGGCACATGCCTTGCAGCCAAGCATCCCAGTTTCCTTCAACAGGTCAAGCACATATTTTCTCTATGAGATAAATATCCCATCCTTAAAGCGAGCAACTTCAATTCCCTGAAAATACTTCAAGCTTCCCAAGTCTTTGATTTCAAACTCTTTGGCTAAATATTTCTTCAACCGAGGTATTTCCCCACTATCATTGCCTGTAAGAACTATGTCATCTACATAAACAATAAGTGCTGTAGTCTTACCACATGAGGAATGTTTCACAAACAATGTGTGATCTGCCTGACTTTGTTTGAAGCCATATTTAAACATAGCCTGAGTGAATCTCTCAAACCAAGCCCTTGGAGACTGTTTGAGACCATATAATGACTTCCGAAGTTTGCATACTTTCCCTTCTGTTTGATGATCCTCAAAACTCGGAGGAATGTCCATATATACTTCTTCTTCGAGGTCACCATGGAGAAAAGCATTCTTGACATCAAACTGATATAGCGGCCAATCTAGATTAGCTGCTAGAGAGAGAAGTACTCTGACTGAATTCATTTTAGCCACGGGTGCGAAGGTCTCCTGATAATCAATGCCATATGTCTGAGTAAACCCTTTGGCCACAAGTCTTGCCTTGTAACGCTCAATAGACCCATCTGCTTTTTGTTTCACAGTATATACCCATTTACAGCCCACAGGTCGTTTGCCCGTAGGTAACTCAGTCAATTCCCAAGTGCTATTCTTCCTAAGTGCTTTCATTTCCTCAATCATGGCTAGTTTCCACTCAGAGATAGCAAGAGCATCCTGAAAATGGTTAGGAATGCTAACAGAGGAAATATTGGACACAAGCGCTCTATATGAGGATGACAAATGAGAGTATGATATAAACTGTGAGATAGGATGTTGAGTACAAGATCTCACACCCTTCCTTTTGGCAATAGGAACATCAAGATCAATGGACTCACGAGATTCAAAGTTACCTAGACTCTCATCAGAAGCAGGAGATGGCAGTGGAGTAGCAGAAACAGTCCCGTTTATCCAATTAACTTGTTTTCTGTCGATGTCCCGGACATAAACATGCCCATCCTTATTCTTGGTGACAGTGGGTTCTATAGTTCCAGAGGGGGGTGCAGGTGCAAGAACAACTGGAAGAACAACTGGTTCTATCATAGGAGGCACAGGACTCACTTCTACCAGAGGAGACACAGGACTCACTTCACACCAAGGCTCCCCCGGAAATGAGGACGGTGACACCGGAGAAGACAAGAAATAGGACTGGGACTCAAAGAAAGTGACATCCATGGACACAAACCACTTACGAGAAGAAGGGTGATAACATTTATACCCCTTTTGAGTAGGAGAATAACCAAGGAAAACACACTTGAGGGAGCGAGGGTCCAACTTACCACGAGAGGGAGAGTGATTATGGACAAAACAATATTTTGGGAGGAATAGAAAACAAGGACAGAGAACCGAGGAGGACGTGAAGCGGAGCCTGTTTGGCCAAGACCTGGGTAGGGAGACGATTAATAAGATCGGCGGGCAGCCGGCCGACACCTTTGCCTTTGCTGCCCGCTGGAATTTTCTACACATACCTTCCACTCTCCACAGCCGTAACTCTGCAAGAAGAGAAACTTCGCTCCATCATTTTCTTCCACGAATCTTCTTCGTGGCTTTCGAGCTCGTCTCTCACTATCTCGTGCAATCGATCTTTGCACTTCATCGCCACATGTGAGCAACCGTGGCCGTCGTAAACGCCGAAAAAGTGCAAATCCGCCGGATTCTGACTACTCCGGCGGCAAAGCAAGGGGTGAATGGCCACAGCGTCTTCCATATCTCTCCTCCTTCCACGCACAGAAGTCATGCCTAACTTAGGGCATTTCTGAGCCACCTCAGGCTCGTTTGTCACATTTGAAGTCGGAGATGCACACTGTTTCGCAGACGTCGTCTCTGATTCACCGTTCTCCACCAAACGACCTTCACTAATCACGCAATTCTCAACTGCTTTTCCGCACTCAGACAGCTTCGAATCTGCCACCAAAACATCCAATTTCTGACGTTTTCTACCGTGCTCTTCCAGATTCTTCTCAGCTTGGTGATAGATTTTTCATAATGGTTGCTACCGCCGCTACTTCTGCATTTTTTCCAGTTGCATCTCCTCCACCCGATTCTGGTGCCAAGACATCCAGCAAGCTTGGAGGACCTCCAGCAAATGTGGATGCACGAGGGATTAAATCAAAATCTGCTGCCACTGGGGGTTTGCAGGTTAAGGCCAATGCACAAGCCCCTTCCAAGGTAAACGGTACCAAAGTTGGTGTAATGGAGGGGCTCAAGAGTGAGGATGATTCGCCATCACTTCACCAAAGGACTTTTATCAACCAACTACCTGATTGGAGCATGCTTCTTGCTGCTGTCACGACGATATTCTTGGCAGCAGAGAAGCAGTGGATGATGCTTGATTGGAAGCCAAGGCGCCCTGATATGCTCATCGATTCGTTTGGTTTTGGGAAAATTGTTGAGGATGGTTTTGTTTTCCGTCAAAACTTCTCTATCAGATCCTATGAGATAGGGGCTGATCGGACCGCCTCTATAGAGACATTGATGAATCATTTGCAGGTATGATTGAAACTTCATTTGACTACAATGTCAAAAGAATAAATGCACTCCCATGTACCATTCACTGCCCCTTTTCTAATTTGTTTAGTCCTTCACAAGCTTAGGTTTTTTTTGCAGGAAACAGCTCTTAATCACGTGAAGAGTGCAGGACTTCTGGGTGATGGCTTTGGTTCAACTCCGGAGATGTGCAAAAAGAACCTGATTTGGGTGGTCACTAAAATGCAGGTTCTGGTAGATCGCTATCCTACTTGGTAAGTCACAGTCCTGTGTGCATCACATTGCTTTCTTACTACATTATGATATCATACCTTTTAGTTTCTCTGATGGTTCAGTTGTCTCTAGGAAATTGATGTGGTGTTTGGCTGCTAAGGGCTATGTTAAAGTCATATTACATGTATTTACAACCCCACCATGTTGTAGAGGCTTAGTTGATTCCCTAACTTTAAGGTATTTTCAGGATGATTTAACATACAATAATTAATGCGTGAATGTGAAGCTTACTTAAAGGTTGCTTTGCACTAGCTTCACCAGGCTCCTGCTGATGACAGGTGTCTGGGAGAGACAGCAGGTAAGCAGTCTTACCCCACTGTTTTGTGGAGATGCTGATATTTGTGACTCAAACCTGTGCCACAGGACTGGGGCCAGATAGCACTTGCCATCATGCCAGTCGCAACATCTAATGTGAAGCACATTTCGTTAACTTTAAAAGATTAGGGGTCTATATTTGAGATGAGATTATAATCTATGTTTGCAATCTGGTCTAAATGTAAAAAAACATGCATGATGGGAGGGGTTGGAGGTGGTACCTTGACCTTTTGTTTGATCTCTTAATTTTCTTTTTTAAATCACATATTGCTTTAAGAAAACGTTAGTACTTGATCTCAAGATTTGATGTAGTTGTCATAGATACGACAGACACTTTAAAGGATTAAAACTCCTCAAAACTAACAAATTATACAAAAAAAAAAAGAAGTCAAATATTCTATTTTTTCCTACTTTTTGCACATTTTTTTTTTTGTAAAAAGACAAAAAGTCATCCCAAACATGCTAATTTTTTACTTCATATTTCAGTCAAAAAATTAGAAAGTTACTAAAATAACCTGTTTCCAAACGAGGCGCTATCGACTTGCCCTACCCAACCCAACCCAATTAAGCTATTGAAATATGTATGGTCTTTTTTTCTTATTTATTTAAACTATTGGGGTCCGTTTGGTTTAGTTTTAATATTATGATTTGAGTGTAGAGTTGTGTTTTGAGTTTTGAGTTTTTGAATCCTCATTCGAAAAGAGAAAATTTGTTTAGTTATGAGTTTTGAAAATAGTTTTGGGATGATTTGTAATTTTTTCTTATTTATTTTTGATTGATTGATTGATTGATGTATAGAATGTGAGAGGAGAGATGAGAGAGAAAGTGATTGATTCATAATAATAATAATAAAATAAAGAAGAAAAGAAGAGATGAGTTTCGAATGTAATTTTGAGTTGTATTTTAAAATTATGCTTGGTGAACATGTTGTATCCAAATCGTGATTTAAAAACAGAGTAGAGTTTTGAAAAGTAAACCAAACGCTGCCTTGGTTTTTATGTAAGTTTGAGGAGTACTTCTCGAGAAAAAGCATTGAAAACAAGGGTGAATGGGGCATGTGCCTGTTATGCTTGGTTAATGTGGCGCTCTCTCTGCGTTGGCATTTTACAATACATGGCTGAAGGCTTTAGAGTTACGAGACTTATGCTTCATAAATTCTCTCTTTTATATATGTTCAAAACTTGGTTCCTTTCTCTTTCAATTTTTCCCCTTTAAAATATTGGTTGGAAGGGTATGGGCAATATTATTACTGTCATGAGACAGAAGTCTGTTATGACTTGGATTGCCTGATTCAGCACAGTGAATGCTTTGATCTGTAATAATAGAGACCTATATAGTATGTATTTATATCAAAGAAAGGAAAGAAAAATCAATGTCGTAATTTTTTAGAAAGTGTTAATACGCCTCATGAAAGCCATAATTAAATTTGCATAATGGATAGAAAACATGATGAAGTTATGGGATTGCTTGTGAATTATTAAGTTTTTTTTGTGTGTGGGATACTTTAACTAGTACTCACACCTGTTTTATGTCGAGGCATTGCGGAGTCAATAAGCATCTGTAGTGATTGCTTGTTTACTATCCTGCTCGTTTTTTGATTTGAAATTTTGATCAAGCTCGATTGAGTTTTTTGTTTTGGGACTCCATGGTTGATGACAATTGAGGCCCTGTTTGGCAAGAGGCTTTTTGGCTAAAAAAGCCAAAATGTTCAAAGCCAAAAAGTTCAACCCTATTAGCAAAAGGTCACAGCAATCAATCACTTTTTCCCTCGCAACTATTTATTCAACTAAAAAAATCATTCCAAACACATTTAACATTTTTCACCTCATAAAAAAGTAAAAAAACCACTAAAAAGTATAGTTGCAAAACGGGTACTTAGTTTTGAGATTCTCTTTCTGAACTGTTCACCACTAGGGAACTTTAGCAGCTGTAGTACAATGCTATTAAGCATGGACTGAAAGCTGAGGGAAAAAATGGCCAGCTTTTCTTCCTAGGTTGGTGATGTGATGCAACTTGCAAGTTGGCACATGGTAGCGGTGGTTTATTTGAGTGGCCTGTTCATGAGTGGCCTTGTGTCTTGGTCAATTAGAATGTGTTAGCTTGCCCCACTGGTGTGAATTTACAGGTGCAATGTTAATCCATTGTATGAATGGTGTTTTTATTTCTATTTTAATAATTTATCCTGTTATAGTTGCACGTGTCTTGTGTTTCTCCTCTCTCACTTTGGTAAACCAAGCAACTTAGGCAAAGATGAGAAATGACGTTTGATTTGCTTCTTTGAATTGGAATTTTGTATTTCAACCTAATACGCTACTTGTTAATGGGACATCAAATTGATTCTATTTTGCACCTTGGGATTAGAAAGTTTTTGTGAAGGTTAATCTTTGGCATATATTTCATGATTATTGGGGAAGTAGGGGTTCCCTATTAGAATAGCATATGTGGTGGTTACAGCTTATGTTATAGAATGATTATTTGTGTGTGTATAAGATTCATGTTGTTATATTGCTAACATGATAAATTGTTTGTTTGTAAGAATGTCAACAATTCAAATTGCTTTCAATTGTTGTTGTAATCTCTATTATCAAAATTTTACGATTTGCGATTTGATCACAATTCGATTAGTATTTTTTGCAAAATCAATACGAATCTATAAGTGAATCTATTTTGAAAGTGAATTAAAATGAATCGCACGATTCATAATCGACGCACGATTTGATTCACTTTTTATGATTTAAGCAATTCTTGAAACTGTTGTGTCTGGCATATTTCGATTATTTTTATTTCTTGTTTTTTTGTGAAAAATGACGTAATACAACTTCTAGTAGTATTTAGTAGAAAAATATATATACATAATTTGTTGTTATTTTGGTGATCAGAGAGTTTTAGTAGGATCTAATCAGATTTAGTCAGACCCAATATGCTTTTAACATTTTCTTATTTTTTCTTCCTCGATAAAAATCATAATATAACTTTTAAAGATATTTAAGGGTAAAGTAACTTGTATCATGAATTATCTATTGCTATTTTATTGAAATAAATATAGTTCTATGTTACATGAGTGAGGTTAGTTAAACAAGTTCTATTTAAAAAAAAAAGAAAAAAAATTACTTTTTCGAACAAGCATATATACCTTTTAAAATGTTTTAGGCTTTGAAATAAAGGATTCCAATTAATTCTTTTTTATTATTGTGTTATTCTTACTTGGAAAGGTATGTATGCTTATTGTCCAAATATCAACATCGTTGTGAAGTTATTGTTACTTGGAAATTGAGAGTCTATCTTTGTTTACTTGCTTTACTAAAAATGATTGATAAGAAGTATCTAAAAAAGGAAAAAGGTAAATTCGTGATCTTACATGAGAAGTGTGTTAACTTCTTACCTATTAGACCACATGGTCATCATTTAAAACAGTATTTTTATTAATTTAAGTCTAAATATTTTATATTTATAAGATATATTTAACGTCCAACTGTGTAGATATATATTTTAAAGTAATTTGGTAAAAGTAACTGAATCTTTACAGTTTACAATTCGATTTGTGATTCGGTACATGGCCATTTCGATTCACGATTCGAATCTTGATTTGACAACTATGGTTTTAATAAATAATGGTCAAATACAATATAGACTAAGGGTGCTGTTGTTGTCATATGAACATCACATCAGTCTATATTTTTGGAGTAGTAATTTAATGCAAAGATTGTTCTATTTGTGAAATGATTAGTGAAATTGTAATAGCCTTTATATGAAGCTCATAAAATGTTAACAATTGCTATCAGAAATGAATGGACTTGTGTCATTGAATTGATTGAATTTCTGTGGGCGACACATACATTGATACATATAATGTCTGCAGCTCATAGGTTACATACATTGATACAACTATCTAGGTACTTCATTGCTACATGATCTTGATCACATCCACAAAATTAACTTTCTTTGTGTATTTTATTATTTATTGTATTTGATATGGTATTAGATTAATAATACTACCTTTTAGCTGATGAAGGGAAGTATTTACTTTATGGGACGTGACGTGATGCCCTTGAGATAATGGAATTTATTAGTACTGAAGTTGCTTATAATATTTGTAACTGATTACTACCAATTCATGGTTTGAGCTTCTTTATTTCTTTCAGGGGTGATGTAGTGCAAGTAGACACCTTGGTAGCTGCATCCGGAAAGAATGGTATGCGGTGTGATTGGCTTGTTCGTGACTGCAGAACAGGGGACATTTTAACTAGAGCATCCAGGTGGGAACATTTTTCTTTTTTTTTGAATCTCATGATGCCGATGTTATGCAAAGTTCTTCTATTGTGCTATTTCTTTTGAAAAAGTTAAGTGGAGCCACAACTGCATTGGAAAATGGTGAATATATTATCTGTTTATTCTTTGACAAATAAAATTATGGGATTATTCGTTGAATATATTTAATGCTAGAGGAAGTAGCAAAAGAAGCAACTAAACATATAAATCATGCAAAATTAGTTGGAAGTGTTCTGCTAAAAAGATTCCCAACTTTCTTAAGAACATGAAAGATATTCTCTGGAGAATGTTTAGCCAATGACCTTTAGACTGTGTGTGTCAAGTGTAACTTTCTGTGAACCAATTGAATCAGTTTTTTGGACCAACTGACGAGAGTTCTCTATAGCATGTAAAGCTAGTCTTTAGAGTTCCAAGAGTAACTCGATCTGAAGTTGAATTTAAATGACTTATTTGACTAAGTAATCAAAGTTTTTATGATTGTGGTGGTTTTTATTGGACGCATTGCAGTGTCTGGGTGATGATGAATAAAGAGACGCGGAGGTTATCTAAAATTCCTAATGAAGTTCGAGGGGAAATGGGTACTTTTTTTGTGGATTCACCTCCTGTTGTGGACGAGGACAGCAGAAAATTACTAAAACTTGATGAAAGCACAGCAGATTATATTCGTAATGGTTTAACGGTAAGTTAAAGGTTATTTCATAATGCAACAGATCATTTACCTTTGAAATGTACCATATAATTTGCTTTGTTTTCATGTTTTGTGTGTTTTAATTGTTCAGCCTAGATGGAGTGATCTAGATGTCAATCAGCATGTTAACAATGTGAAATACATCGGATGGATTCTTGAGGTAAATTCCTTTTCTTTTGTTTGATGCATAATCTATCTTGTTATTGATTTTCTTGTCTCATAAAATATGATCTGAGACCCCTATGGGAATGCTCGGTTCAACATTAATTTAGCTGAAGTATTTGCTCACTTGTTTGTATCTGCTATTCACGTTAGTTGAGTACAGATTCCTTCCCTTTGTCATTGTATTATAATGACAAAATGATGCGCCTTCTTGTAAATTGTCCTCTTATCCTCTTCTTTGTACTAACTGGAATGGACACTTATACCATCCTCCATGGCTTTGTATGATTTCATACGAAATTCCTCAGCCAAGATTCATTTATGATTTTATTATTATTATTATTATTTTATATTGAATGCATTTGAAGTTATTTATTAAATTGATTTGTATTGAGTGAGGATTTTCATTTTTCTTGGAAATTGAACCATTATTTTTTATTCTAGGTTTAAGTTTAAATGAGTCCTGTTTATCATAGCATTTTAACTAGTTTGATACGTGTTTCTAACAATCAAGGCAGGTTAGGCGATTAATAGACATCCTTATTTATATTTTATTTGATTCTATTGTTACGTTTTATGGTGCCCAAGTCGTGTTTTAATATGCTGTATGAAGCACAACGTACTAATTCAATAAACGCAGAACATCTGAATGCCCTCATGAGTTACTCAAGCATTGTGATTTGCAGTTCTTGATGTTTGCAGCTTTATGTCTTAGAAATCAAAACATGGGGCAAAACCGTGATGGAAGTCCTTGTTTACACTTTTCAACAACATAATTTGTTGACATTAATTGCTTATGAATTTTAAAACCTAGGATTTTGGTTTCAAATACAGCAAGAATAAAATCCAGCAAAAACAAAATGCTAGCAACTTGGCTGTACATAAGAGAGATGGAAATAATAGAAGAGAGAAGATTTAATATGTGACGGTTGTTATCATTGGCCAGTTGAGCTATGCTAGCAAGATTTACAGTATGATTTCTCATTTTTTATATGCATCATTTAAGAGCTTGTGTACATACTTTGTTGCCACCGCGTAAACATTGTTGCATGATGTTTGCTTGGAGTTTATAATGCAATGAATGCTGATCTATGGAAAGTGTGGCTCACTGTCAAATGGCATGTGATATCTGGTTGTGATTGTTCTTTCACAGTACCAATTTTGAGGGATTTATGCATTTCCTGACCATTTTAAATTCATTGTTTTCTTCAATCTTTCCAGCATTCCCTTTTCACTTGTTTCAAACTACAGGGCATGGACACGGACATTGGTCACAATGATTTTGAAAAAAAATTAGGATACAGATGCGGCAAGGATGGGGAAAATTTTATTTTATTTTTAATATTTTTATTTGCTATGTATATGAATATAAATTTAGGAAATAGAGATACAAGAGACATTAATATATATGTGGGTGCAATTCCCTCTGTTTTCATGTATTTTAGTTTGACCCCAACTCATCTTTTTAAAATTATCAAAAAGAAACTCGCAATGGTATCCTGAGGTGCATGTCCATGAAGTGTCTCCAAAGTGTTGAAAAAAAATAATACTTAATAAAATTAACATGCCACATGGCGTGTCGGTGTCTGACATACGACACCGAACACTCATTTTGAAGTGTCAGTGCTTCAGAAGTTTCAAATTTGCTTGCTATTTTATTGATCTAATCAGAAACAATGCCGGTTATTGCAGAGTGCACCACTGCCAATTTTGGAGTCATGAGCTTTGCGGCATGACTCTGGAGTACAGGAGGGAATGCGGGAGGGACAGCGTGCTGCAGTCCCTAACCACTGTATCTGGTGGTGGTGTTGGCAGTTTGGTTGATCCTGGTTATGTTGAGTGCCAGCATTTGCTTCGACTTGAGGGTGGGGCTGAGATTGTGAAGGGAAGAACTGAATGGAGGCCCAAATATGCCAACTGTGTTGGGACCCTTGGTTCACTTCCAGCAGAAAGCAGTTAATTGTTGAAGTTCTTTATTGCTTGGAGTGGCAGTAAGTCTTATCCTTCGTGTCGCCGCGATGCCCATGTAAAATCCCTACTCGAGTTCCTGGATTATATATGGTTTTTCATTATATATATTTCTTCTGATCTGTGTTCTTGTTTGGGAGAATAGAGAAAAGTTCTTAAGCCTTTTGTAAGTAGATCTTGTTGTACTCTCTCTCTCTCTCTCTCTCTCTCAGAGCTGTGTCTGAAGTCTTAGTGATTACCTTACCTTCTCAGATTGGCAACACATTCATTTTTATCATTTTTGGTGGCAATTCTTTATTATTTATAATTAAATTTGTTTTTTGGTGGAGCATGTTACTTTTTTCTCACTGTGCTGCTAAAGTTGTCTAAATGTGATGGCAAAGTCGCACTTGGAGGTCAAGTAACCATTAAATTTATATATCTTACAGTTGTTTGACAAGTAACCATTACTTCAAGATAGTTGAGAAATCTGAAATGTAATGTTCCCAGAAAAATTATTCAGAAAGTGTAGAAAATCTGAAATGTGTGGAGCATATTTAAATTTAGGGTGGTATTGTTCATATTCAGAATGAATTTGATTTATGCATTTTGAAATCCGGTATATCTAGCATTGATGATCAAGGTCATGGATGGAGCTCTCATACCTTGATATTCTCTTTTCTATAGTGTGTTTCTTTGGTGGGGCATGATATTCACTCCCATAGAATTATTTTTTTATTTTATATTTTACTTTTATTTCTTTTAGGAAAAACCGAAAAACCAATTTGTGGTTTACCCCTCTCAATCTTTAAATGTTTTCAAAATTTTCATTATTTTTATTGCAAACACCACAAAAGTGTAAATGATTAAAACAAAAGTACAATCAAGCAAGCCTATTATTGCATCCTATTATGGCGGTGTTTGTGAACTTGGTTTTTGAGTTTTTTTTGTTTTTGTTTTTTCCCACTATAAGACAAATGTTTTACAAAATAAAAAAAAACCAAATACAAACCAAATATCACATCAAATTTCGTAATAATTTCATCACTTTTTTTTTCTCACAAACATCACATTTAACTATAAAAAGATCTAACTATCTTCCCAAACATAAAGAATTTTTTCTCCAATAATATCTTACAACTAAAAAAATTTACAAAAAAACCCACTTTCTAAACACCAACTATGTATAACTTGGTTCCAATCATAGAACAATAATGTGAAACAAAATTATCATGCAGAATACAAGATATGTGGTTTAACAGTATGATACATGGTTTAACGGTATGCTTGTGTCCCTGGTTTAACAATATGCTTGTGTCTAATGGTGAATGAGATTAAATTCATTATGCACAATAAGTACTACAAAACTCTAAACCTCTCAATTTAATCGCTGTATAATGTTCACTCTTACACACTAAACCTTTACAATCTGAGTCTCTAGCCTTCGATCTTTTACAATAAATTTGAGCGTGTAGTAAAAATATAAAATGAAGCTTGTTGGGAAATCTGAATCCGAAGAGCTCACTAGTGCACAACACCATTGGAAATAAACTCATTAATTCATTGAAAATAAACTTGAAAGACCCTATGTAATGTGATTCATGAGTTATGAGCTAATCAAGAACTATTAATAGTAATTCCTAAATTAGACGATAATCTAAATCATCTAGCTAATACAAAAGTGATTTAAATTATTTCTAAGCAATGAAAAAATGTGTCATAAAGATTTAACGTGAAAAAATATCACAATTGGACAACTCCAATTGTGATAAAAAAAATCACAACCTAAGAAGGGCGAACAAATCCACTAAGAAGAAACAAAAAAATTCCCTTCCTAAACACCCTCTATGTATAACTTGGTTCCAATCATAAAACAATAATGTGAAACAAAATTATCATACAGAATACAAGATATGTGGTCTAACGGTATGATATGTGGTTTAACGGTATGCTTGTGTCCCTGGTTTAACAATATGCTTGGGTCTAATGAGGAATGAGATTAAATTCATTTGCCCAATAAGTACTACAAAACTCTAAACCTCTCAATTTAATCGCTTTATAATGTTCACTCTTACACACTAAACCTTTACAATCTGAGTCTCTAGCCTTCGATCTTTTACAATAAATTTGAGCGTGTAGTAAAATTATATAATGAAGCTTGTTGGGAAATCTGAATCCGGAGAGCTCACTAGTGCACAACACCATTGGAAATAAACTCATTAATTCATTGAAAATAAACTTGAAAGACCCTATGTAATGTGATTCATGAGTTATGAGCTAATCAAGAACTATTAATAGTAATTCCTAAATTAGACGATAATCTAAATCATCTAGCTAATACAAAAGTGATTTAAATTATTTCTAAGCAATCAACAAATGCGTCATAAAGATTTAACGTGAAAAAATATCACAATTGGACAACTCCAATTGTGATAAAAAAAATCACAACCTAAGAAGGGCGAACAAATCCACTAAGAAGAAAGAATGAAAATTACAAGAGACCTCACCAAGCTTTACCACCTATGAATCCATACAACCCTTGGAGACACTAGAACATCTTCGTCGCCTACTCTTCATCTAGGATTGTTCATTATTGAGCTTGGATCCACAAACTCCAACTCAGTTCGAATTCTACGGATTGAACGCTAAGGAAGGTAGATTCAATCAAAGCCTCTTGATGTATTCAATCAATTCCATGATGTGCGACAATCATCAACAATCCACTAAGAGAAAACCAATAACAACTCTCTATAAGATAGAACCAGGGATGTAATCGGTTCGGTACGATCGATATTTAGATAAAAATTTCCACCGAATCGATAATGTCGGTTTTATTATTTTAAGTACCGATATAGACTGCTTCTCTTATCAAACTGCACCGAATCGAACCGATTGAAACAGTTTGGTTCGATGCAGTTTAATCGGTTTAAGACCTTTCAAACTTTAATCATGTAAAAATATTGAATTAGTTTTTTGTTCACTTGTGAAACATATCCAATCCATCCATTTAATAAATATTTTTCAATTTTTAGATTAACAAAAATACAAATAAAAATAATAATAATAAATACTAAGGTTTTAAAAATAATAAGTTAGAGTTCAGATTATATAAAATAAAAATTTACTATCTTAAGTTATAGAGATGACATGATTAATTAATTGAGGTTAATAATTTATTATACTTATTAATATCATTATATTATTAGATTATATAATTATATATACAATATATATTGAAATGGTCGGTTTTCGATTTAATTCAGTGCACAAGGTGTTTAAATCGACACTGAATCAAAAATTGAAAAAAATCAAATTAAAAAGCCACACAAATCGATTATTGTTAAAAAAACAGACCAAACATGGCCAATTCAGTATGGTTCAATCGGTTTGGTTGATTTTTTCAAATTTTCTTGCATCCTTAGAACTATTGTTCTTCAATGTTTAGAGAGAAATTTGGAAGCATTAAACCCTGAAATGAGCATCTGAGGCGGCTTAAACAATCCAGAGTTGCAAGGAACGCTTGAGCGCATAAATGACCACTTGAGCGATGTGTCTAGAAAGATGGTGCTGGCAAACTTCCAGCTGTCACTTCACTCAAGCGCAAGACTTACAACTCAAGAGGTAAAACATATCTCTGGGTATCTCTGAATTTAGACTAAGATATTGGATGCTTAAATTCAACGCTGGAGTGCAAACATGACCGCTTGAGCGATCCATGTAGTTTGACAGGCCAATAAAAAGAAACAGATTTTGAAAAACAACTGATCAAACACAAGCAACACTTAAAATCTCACAACATTACAACTCAAATGTATTTGTTCGTGAAATTGACGAAACAAGAGTCATAACAAAACTCATTAATTCACATGTATAGTACCAAGGCCTGACTTCCTATCAAGTGTTTTGTCCATCCTATTCAATATTGTTATGGAGTTGATTACTGTACGGGAAAGAAATAAACCTTCTCGTATAATCCTGTTGATCAAGTCTGCGCTCCTCCGTACGACGTCACTTTACTCCCTGAAAACACAAGCGTGAGCTAGCCTGCGGGTGTGTGCCGGAAATCCCTCCGATGCCTAAGTCAGAAAAACAGACAAGTAGACAAGAAGCTCTGTGAATTCGAGAATCAAAGTTGTGTTACCTCTCCATAGGTGATGTTTGTGAGCTTTTATAGGTTTCGTGTGGTACAATCATAGTAGGACTTCTACTCCTCCATGCAGAGTGCTCCTAGGATTCATACTCTTGAAAGACAATGCTTATCCTTCAACACCCCCCTCACTGCTTAAACCAAGTGAGATGGTTTTACCATGGTTGGATTCCACTATGACCGAGGTAAGCATGGCTTATGCTAAGCCGCAGACTAGACCGAGCTAACTTTAGTTCGGCTCTTCCATTCATTGCTCTTACCCAGGTTTCTCCTAGCGCCAACCATGGTGTGATCAGACTGAGCTATCAAACAGCAAGGTTCTGGCCGAGACAACCTCGATAAGCCAAAATCGGACTAACTTTGAGTACGGCAACCGGGCTATGTTCAAAGCTTCCTTTAGACCAGAGTAACCTCAAGATTCTTTCGGACTGGAGTAACTTTATACCCCTCTTGGGCCGGAGTAACTTTACACCTCTCTTGGGCCGGAGTAACTTCATGGCCTTTTTACTTAGTCCTTCGTAATGTGGCCCATAACGGCTTATTACCCAGCTCGGCCCAATTTATAAGTATAAATTACCCTCTCAATTGCCCCTTAATTCCATCTGCGTAGCATGATAGGGATTACCTGTCTATAAACCGGGCTAAAGTTTTATCTTTTCAGCCGAACTAAAAAGCCCTTTAGCCTTTCCAGTTGAGCTATATATTTTTAACCCTCCCAGCCGAGCTAAAACTTAAGCCGAGTTGTGCTTGTCCGGTCACAACGTCCTTTCAATCATAGAAACTGAATCGATTCTCATCCCTATGACACGTGGCATGCTGGTATTGGCTTACTGCAGCTGTTGCACCGCCCTCGTACTCCGCAAAATTTGAATAGTCCCGCGCGTTTTCGTCCTTCCTATATCCCAAAACAATACTTTCGTCTTTTCAATCACCCTCGTTGATCATTTTACCGTTTCAAGCTCTTCTTTCTCTTTTTGCCTCCATTGTTCTCCATCCTTTGCAACTGTGAAGCTCGTGCTTGCTGCTATTTTCTACTTCCATTTC